TAAACCTGAACCAGCCCTAACTATAAACCTGAACCAGCCCTAACTATAAACCTGAACCAGTCCTAACTATAAACCTGAACCAGTCCTAACTATAAACCTGAGCCAGCCCCAACTAAGAAAACTGAGTAAAAGTCTTAAAGTATCTGATATTTATTGTACTTAAGTATCAAAAGTAATTTTCTGATATTAAATGTACTGAAGTATTGAAAGTAAAAGTACAAGTAAATGCTGTTAATAAAAAAGCAAAGGGTCAGAATTATGAGAATTATGAAGTTTATTCTTTTAAGTGCTGTGGCACCATGACCAAGGACATGGAGCTGTGTTGAACATAATTGGGTTGGCTGTGATCCATCCAGGAGCAACAATGTTCAACATAATATATTGTACATAAGTATACTTTTGCATCTACTATGAACTTATCATAATTCTCCGAAAAGCAATATGACACTATGAAGGAGTTGCAACAGTGCGTTTATAAGTATGCTCATTCCGACTAGAGGATGTAGAGGGAAAATGCATCATATTGTGTTCAGCAACAAATATCCACTTGATGCATCAGGTCAGTGTTGTGAGAAAGGACGCCTGCCTTGTAAACTCCTATGGGCCTGGTTTGAACACAACAGGCAAAGGTTTTGCTCAAGCTGAATCTGCAATTCGGCGACTGCTACCATCATAACTCCATCTGATCATCCACAAAATGACTCAAATATCAAAACATGATCGATACTAAAGCAGCACCGAAAGTAACAACCCAGTCATTACTTGAACCTGAAAAATGTCCTGTTCATCTTCAAAAGAAGTCTTCTTGGGCTGAAGACTAGTCCTGCGATGCTAAATAGCCTTTCACAGGCCGCTGAGGCAGGTAGAGGTGTGTTCAGCTTCACAGACAGCTTGCGCACAGCTGGGAAGGATTTCCCTAATGCTAACCCTAACGCTGCGCTCTCGCGGCTCCTGTCAATCCTATGGTGTGGTGGCTAGCTAACGTTAAGTTAGCTAACATTAGCCAACTAGTGCTGCAATGATTATAGCTAAGATGACTCAAATCAACACAATCTCACAACTGTCAACACTTCCTCAGCTCACTAACTCGCTAGCGATCCTCGGGTGTTGGTCTTCGTCACCACCGTAGATCGTTGCGGGAGTAGCAGGTGCTTCCATTTCTGCTTCTGTCATGAAATCAGTCATCGTAGAGTGGAATTCTGCTCATGTAGTCTCGCTAGCTATAGCATATAGCATCCTGGGCATCACTGGGGATCTAAACACGCGGCTTTGAGAGCACTTGTTTGCAATTGCGCATTAACGTGATTAACCAATGATTTAACTTGCAAGCTAGGACCACTGATTCACCAAACCTGCTTGCTTGCAGTCTCTGTTCCACCACAGTCCCCGACGCTGGTCTCATGATTCATTTTCTAAAGATAGATTTGATTTTGTAGCGAGTAACGAAGGTTTCAGGGGAAATGTATCGGAGTAAAAGTATCAGTTTTCTTTGCAAAATGTAGTGAAGTAAAAGTAAAAGTCAACAGAAATATAAATAGTAAAGTAAAGTACAGATATCCAAAAAAAAAAACGACTTAAGTACAGTAACGAAGTATTTCTACTTCGTTACTATACACCACTGGTAATAACATTGTGCCAAAGATTAGTACATAAGTGTTTCTGTATGAAACCAGTCGACTCTCTGATGCATTCAGCTTCAGGGAGCAGGAAATATGGAAACACCCGTCAATCCTGCAGCTAACGCACCTAAAGCACCTAACGCAGCTAAAGCACCAGACGCACCTAACGCAGCTAAAGCACCAGACGCACCTAACGCACCTAACGCAGCTAAAGCACCAGACGCACCTAACGCACCTAACGCAGGTAAAGCACCAGACGCACCTAAAGCACCTAACGCAGCTAACGCACCTGACGCACCTGACGCAGCTAAAGCACCTAACGCAGCTAAAGCACCAGACGCACCTAAAGCACCTAACGCAGCTAAAGCACCAGACGCACCTAACGCAGCTAAAGCACCTAACGCAGCTAAAGCACCAGACGCACCTAACGCACCTAACGCAGGTAAAGCAGCGGCCATGATGAGAGATCATTCCTACTTCACCAGTAGACTGTGTTCAGGCCTGTCTCACCTCATACCATCACACATCTTATCATAACACACAGTCCCAATGTGAAGAAACACAACCTGTGAACAAGTTAATTTAAATGACATCATGAACTTCTTCAGCTTCTAAAGCTAAACTAGACGATACAAACATCACATTCATGACCCTGAAGAGGTTAAAGAAACATCTTCAGTACATCAACATGATGGACTTTCATGAAGTGAATCCTGGTTTCAGGTCCAGCAGGTCTCACAACAAAGGACCAGGTCTCACAACAAAGGACCAGGTCTTCATCAGACCACCTGGTCATGATGACATCACCTTTACGAGACCCATCGGGTCACTACAGAAGATGTTTAAATGTCAGGTTGAACGTACCGTCCTGGCGCTTGGTGGCAGCGCCCCGTTGTTGAGGTATGGACTACAAAGGTTCAGGTCTGAGATCATGAAGAAGGGGTACCCCACATAGGGGGGGGGCTGGAAGAGACCTCCATCCTGCTGCCTCCTCAGGGCTGAGGAACAAGATGAAAGATCACTTCTCTCATCAGGTTAGTTTAACAGGTTGTGTGCTACATGCTAACTAGTCTTAGCGGCTCATTAGGCTCTGCCTCTTTAGAGAGTCCCAGCACCCTCCTGGGCTGAGCTCACACTGTTTATGTTTATTCATTTGTATTTTAAATGTAACCAAGATATTAATGTGTTCTTTACCTTCTTGAAACAGATGATTGTGTCTGATCCTGTTCTCCAGATCTGTGTTGATCCTGGATCGTCTGTCTGTCTGTACACACAACAACAATAACACAACAACAATAATAACACAACAATAACACAACAACAATAATAACACAACAATAACACACCAACAACCACAATAACAACAACACGCACACACTGATGGTGAACCAGTATCGTGTCTACATAAACCAGCTCCACTAACTAGTCCCAGGTCTCTTAACTGGTTCCAGGTCTCTTAACTGGTTCAAGGTCTCTTAACTGGTCCCAGGTCTCTCAACTGGTCCCAGGTCTCTCAACTGGTCCCAGGTCTCTCAACTGGTCCCAGGTCTCTTACCTCCTCCTCTGAGTCTGACTCGGACTCGTTGACAAGAGAGTTCTTCACATCGTCCAGGTCTCGACCAGAGGACACGTTCCTCTTCTCCTCTTGTTCCCCTTCATCTTTAAAGTTGATCAGTTCATCGTTAGCTCCCAGGTCGTCTCCGTGTAGCGGCATGTCTGGAGGTTAGCCTACAGCTAGCATGAGCTAACATGAGCTAACACGAGCTAACATGAGTTGATGCTAACTTACAGTTTGTATATAAACACAACCGAGCGGAGCGTGAAACCGTTAATAAAGATCCAGCTAACGTTGTGTGAGAGCTTCACGCATCACATGCACCGTTCACGTTAATCTACGGGATTATTCCGTCTTTTATTGGGTTAAAAAACAGTTTATTAAACTAAGCTAACTAGCTACGTGCTGCGTTCACTGACGCGTCTGTTTCTGGACGAATTCCTGAGGTGTGAAGTCTTTATTTAGTCCTCCTCGAGTCCTTAACGTTAGTCCTCGAGTCCTCCTCCACGAACAGAGTCCATTACAGAGAAGGGGTACCACAGGAACAACTATACTAATTATAAAAACACTCTGACGCGCTGACGTGAGGAAATAAGAGTCCGTTAACACGGTGAAAAGTTCACCGTTGAGTTTCTTGAGTTACTCCAGCGGGAAAAGATCAACAGGCCCGTTGAGATTTAACGGTTAAACCAGCAGGTTACACTAACGGTCCATCGTGTTTTAGTGATGTGTGATGATCCAGACCGGTTGTTTGTGGAGACGTGAGAACACTTGGAGCTGGTCGGAGCTTCTGAGACCGAGGAAAAAACTCCGAGATCGGAGGAACAACCAGAGCACCCGGAGAGACTCAGGACTGATCCTGGACCAGTTCAGCAAAGCGCGCTCCTGACTCTGCACAAGCTGAACTGATCCTGGACCAGTTGAACAACAGGTTGATCCCAGAGAAGACACAAAGAGGAGGAGGAGGGAGGAGGGGGTATAAGAAGCTCCGACCAGCTCCAAGTGTGCTATAAATAGAGGGAGATAGAAAACAATGTTTTTAAACAACAGAATACAACTGAATGATAAGACTCAGTAAAATACATCATTTAACACTGTAATACTAATAATGAAAGTATTTATTGCACTAGAATATATATTATTATTTGACACTGGAATAATAATAATACAAGTATTTATTGCACTATTATTACTGTTATTATATAAATAAAACTCAGGCGTCATATTCTGAGTTAGCGGTCTGTGGATGTTTTCATTAGAGGAAGAAGTGCTCATAACTTTTATTAAGTAAATACTCTGTTACAGTAAATGTCTGTATTTAAGATTTTACTTGAAGTTACCTTAAAGTACAGGTGTTAGCATCAAAATATACTAAAAGTAAAAGTACTCATGCTGAATAAATGAATGAGCAGATAAGATAAGATAATCCTTAATTAGTCCAGCAGAAGACTCAGGAAATACATCTAATAATTATCAGTAAAATACATCATTTGACACTGGAATAATAATAGTAGTTTAGTTAGTCACTTTAAACTATAAACATGTAGACAGGCGACTAGTTTAGTTAATCACTTTAAACTATGAACCTATAGACAGGAGACTAGTTTAGTTAATCACTTTAACTTAAACTGTGAACATGTAAACAGGAGACTAGTTTAGTTAATCACTTTAAACTATAAACCTGTAGACAGGAGACTAGTTTAGTTAATCACTTTAAACTGTAAACATGTAGACAGGAGACTAGTTTAGTTAATCACTTTAAACTATAAACATGTAGACAGGAGACTAGTTTAGTTAATCACTATAAACATGTAGACAGGAGACTAGTTTGGTTAATCACTTTAACTTAAACTGTAAACATGTAAACAGGAGACTCGTTTAGTTAATCACTTTAAACTATAAACCTGTAGACAGGAGACTAGTTTAGTTAATCACTTTAACTTAAATTGTAAACATGTAAACAGGAGACTAGTTCAGTTAATCACTTTAAACTATAAACCTGTAGACAGGAGACTAGTTTAGTTAATCACTATAAACATGTAGACAGGAGACTAGTTTAGTTAATCACTTTAACTTAAACTGTAAACATGTAAACAGGAGACTAGTTCAGTTAATCACTTTAAACTATCAACCTGTAGACAGGAGACTAGTTTAGGGAATCACTTTAAACTATAAACCTGTAGACAGGAGACTAGTTTAGTTAATCACTTTAAACTATAAACATGTAGACAGGAGACTAGTTTAGTTAATCACTTTAAACTATAAACCTGTAGACAGGAGACTAGTTTAGTTAATCACTTTAAACT